AAAGCGTGCTGCAATTGATTAACAATGTCCATCCTAAACGTGGTGTGGACAGCGGGGTCCCGTGCTCACCCTTGCCATCCCTGGCCTTTCCGTGATGGGAGTGCCACGGGGTTCACAGGACAACTGTCTTCCGCATTCCCAGCTTTCCTCTTTGACCAGAGTGTCCCCTGGACTCCACGAGATTGATTAGGCTTTTTCCTTAACACGTTCGTTGTCCAGACAATCGGGCTGTTTAGTCAGCATATGCGCGCATCTTGTGATCCTGTAGCATGATTTCCCTTCTCCGAGCCCCGTGTGAAACTGCACGGTGACAGATGGCAGCGGCCCGAGACCAGGCTCTTTGCAACCTGCTTGTCCCCTCCCCTGTCCTTACCCCTCACTGAGGTTTCTACTGGGATTAATGGAGTCCCCGTTTAATTCCTATTATCCCTTGATTCCCAGAGGGAAACTCACACATCAGCCGTGCCCCAGCTCCCTCCCTCAGACCGTTTCTCCCTCATGTATTCTTAATTTCAATTTGATTTCTCTCTCTCTGGCCAAGCCTGATATTCATTTCCTAATTAGGGATTATGAGAATTTTAATGGTTACTGAAGCCTGAGCATTCTTGAAACTGATGAGCTTATATCCCCCATCAAAGGGGAACCTCTCGGGTAATAGGATTAACGAGTGGCTGTTATTTCCTTCAGACTTTTCTATTTCCCCGTGTGAGCATATATGACTTTTATAATATAGAGAAATACAGACAACTTTTATAATCTAGAAAAAATTAAGTGTATTTTAAGAAGAAAACATCTTGACTAGTGGTTTTTAGCCTCTTTTTAACAAGCAGCCAAACTCTGTTCATATCTTAGGAACAAACGAAAGAGCAGCTGTTCTGGTGGAAGTGGGATCTGTGTGTGTGTGTGTGTGAGAGAGAGAGAGAGTGAGTGAGTGTGTGTGTGTATGTGTGTGTGTGTGAGTAGGCGTGTGTGCGCATTTATGAGTGTGCATATGTGTGAGTGTGTACATATTTGTGTGTATTTACATTTGTGAGTGCGCTTGAGAGTGTGAGCGGATGTGCGTTTGTGTGTGTGTATGTGTTTGCGAGTGTGTGTCTTTGTCTGTGTTTGTGTAGGGGGTACCTCCGGTGTTGCTGGATATTCTGGGTTTTTTTCCATCCCCGGACAGGAACAGACATCTGGACCCTCTTTGCCCATCAAATAGGAAGCTGCGTCTGGCCCGGAGCTGGCCTCTGTCATGACAGAGCTCATGCCTCTGAGCAAATGGCCTGCTAGGTTTATTTGGCACATGAGTTGTGAGTAGTCACACTGTTTCTGGGCAGGGACATTGCTTTCGTCTGTCGATTAAGGGGCTGTAGGCTCCCGTATCCCCCAGGGAATCTGCCTGTGGACACAGGGGAGGTGGGAGAGCTAGCATGTCATAGACCAGCGCGTTTTTCAGGACAGCCTATTCAGAACGGATATGAAGAAGTGATTCCCTGAGATGTTCTTGGCTGGGCCTGAATCCCTCCCATTCCCCAGTCTCATGTTTCAGGTGGTCCAAGGATCTCCCTGTACAGAAGGCCTCTCCATTTCTGGAAGGGCCAACACCCCTGTCCTTCCTAGGACCTACTGTTTCTGCTGAGAACAGTGTGGAGGAGGGAAAGGATCAAGCCACGTGTGTGCCAGCTCCAAGGCCAGCCTCCCTGGGTTTGAAACCCAGCTCTGCGACCTACTAGCCGTGTGGCCTTATCCAGCTTACTCCCATTCTAAGCCTTGGTTCTCCCATTCTTAAAAGACCTAAGGAGGCGCCTGGGTGGTGCAGTCGGTTAAGCGTCCGACTTCAGCCAGGTCACGATCTCGCGGTCCGTGAGTTCGAGCCCCGCGTCGGGCTCTGGGCTGATGGCTCAGAGCCTGGAGCCTGTTTCCAATTCTGTGTCTCCCTCTCTCTCTGCCCCTCCCCCGTTCATGCTCTGTCTCTCTCTGTCCCAAAAATAAATAAAAAACGTTGAAAAAAAAATTAAAAAAAAAAAAAAAAAGACCTAAGAATGGTCCCTAACTCCTAGGACCTTGGGAGTTGATTGTTAGTCATTATATTCATGGCCCTTAGTCACGCTCTCTCCCCACATCTCAGCCTCCCAGGCAAGGTTCTGACCAAGACTCTGAATGCTCACAGAGAAAGAAAGAGAACATTTGGATCTTCCTAGTGATTTTGCTTTATGGTGGTAAGAAAACTTGTAGGGGGGAGCATACTAGCTCCGAGATCCTGAGGAAGCTGTGGTGATGTCAGCCAGAGGTCGGTGGGGTCACCTCTGTAGGGGCAGCGGGAGCCTCCTCTCTATTTCTAGAAAGAATTCTTTATATAAACTAGCTAATAGGGATGAGCAGGACCTGTTCATACAACTGTCTTGGCTACTTACTATACACGTATATTTTCTCTTCTCGTCACATAATCCCTACGAAGGAGCTATGGTACTCGTTTTTCCAGATCGTAAAACTGAGGCTCCTAGAGGAAATCGGCTAGCGTCACACAGCTAAAGAGTGAGAGAGCCAGTACCCAAACCTGAACTCGAAACCCTATTACACTGCCTTCCCTCCCTCTTACCACTTCTCCCAAAAGTACTACCAAGCAGAAGGTTTCCACCCACCTTAGGCCTTCAGCATATGACCATGTATTGAAAAGAATTCTTGTTAAAACATCTCCTACTTTCCCTGCCAGAAAAGGTGCGTTGTCCAGAGGCTCCACGTATACAGCCATCCTGGGTCTGCTCCCAGATGGATAAAGCCTTGACCCAGCCGTGGGCTGCTTGTTGACTGGGCCACCGGGGCACCCGACCTCCTTACCCTTTTCTGGACCTTGCTCCAGGACAGATTTGAATTCACCATGTCTACAGGTCGACCCAAAACACTGGCCTTTCCTGGAGACCGCCAGAACTGTCTCGAAACTGTGACACCCAAAGTGGCTGTCACTCCCCTGAGACTGACAAGCAGGATGTTTGAGGAGCTGGGCAGCCTTGGAGAAGGTCTTCTATTTCACCACAAAGGGAAGACTGAGGACATGTCTCTGCCGAGAAACTCCTGCCTCGAGACCTGACATGGACACTCTGGAAAAGATGTCTCCTCAGCCACTGGCTCCCTCAAGGTGACCTGCATCCTCCCTTGTTCCATGCCCTGTACCCTGTGCCTCATGGAGCATTTGGGTTTGTGTCTGGTCTGCTGCTCGAAGAGCGTTTCTGCTGTCTGCCATTTTACTGTGGATAAAGGGCATCACGCTCTTTGCTAACGTCCCTTCTCTTCACCGTGCCTTTCTGCCCTCTATCCCAGGCACCTCTGTCTTTCCCCTCGTCTCCATCTCTGGAGACGCTACCAGGAAATGCCACCGGAAATAGCATCATGCCTTCGACTCCCTTTGTGCTGATTCTTCCTGAGAGCTTAACCCGCCTTTGCGACGTCTCCTTTCTTGACGTTTCTACTTGTCTCTCACAGGACCTATACTTTTTCCTACCAGCTTTTTCATTTTTTAAATGGAAAATAATCAAAATGATGTGATTTCTAGAGCGGTCTTGTCCTCCTCAATGGTATTCCTGTGGCCTCTCTCAATCTCTCTTCTCAGCAACTCTCTTGAGCTCGCTTATCATCAACCTTATTCTCAATAAAAGTGGCCTTCTGAAGCTTCCTGTTATCTTGCAGGCAACGCCGGCAGCCTCCCACTCTCTAGCTGTCTCCCTTCTGTCACCCCTGTGTCCTGGCGCTCCCAGTTAGCCGAGGTAGGTCTGTCCCCAGGGTAAGAGTGGGCTGGGATGACACAGTCCCAGGCCTTAAGGAGTTTACAGTCTTTCATGACTTTCCTGCCCCTCCAAAGACTGGGCTCTTGCAACATCGGAATCTAAAAGCAGTTATTTGATGTTGTTTCTTGGTTCGCAAAATAATTCTCTGAGGTTTATAATATGGGTTTTCCTCCATGCTCTTTGCAATTATTCACCTTTCATTTTCCTCCAAGAAATATCCACTGAGGACCTGCTATGTGCCTGGTGCTGAGCTAGGCCCAGGGTGGTCATGTGCAAAATCATGCACGGTCCCTGCTGTCCTGGAGCCTTCAGTCTGGTGGGGAAGCAACATAAGTTTACCAAGTAGTCATGTTGAAACCTGCGCGATTTCAGTCATGAAAGTGGAGGAGAGACATGTAAAGCTGTGAAAGCATATAAGGCAAAAGGCTGGGCAAGTGGTTCTCAGAGTGTGGTCCCTGGACCAGCAGCCTGAGCATCACCGGTGACCCAGTTAGAAATACACATTCTCAGGGCACCTGGGTGGTTCAGTCAGGTAGGCATCCAACTCTTGATCTCAGCTCAGGTCTTAATCTCAGGGTCCTGAGTTCAAGCCCCACGGTGGGCTCCCCCCTGGGCATGAAGCCTACTTAAAAACAAATACACATTTTCATTTCCCACTCTAGACCCACTGGATTAGAAACTCTGGAGGTGGGGCCCAGCCTCTGTTTTCACACATCCTCAGGAGACTACCATACACACGCAGGTTTGAGAACTCTTGCCTCAGATGGTCAAAGAAAGCTTCTCTGCAGAAAAAAACTTCTGGATTATAAAGGAAAACTAGGCAATAGGGCGGGGCGGGAGAAGTATTTCGTACAGAAAGAGTGGCATATGGAAAAGCCCTGAGAGTTTTGAAAACATGAGGGATTAGCCCAGGAGAGAAGAGTAATATAAGATACATCTGGACAGGTTGATAGGACCAGGATATATAGGTCATGGAGGCCACATCAAGGATTGGGCAACAGGAAGCTTTTTGATGTGCTTGAAACACAGGGATGACACAATCTTACTTGTTTTCATTTAAAGAATAAATCTAGCTACAGTATGGAGCAAATATTGCAGAAGAGCAAGGGTAGACCAGTTGGACGTCATGGCAGGGGTCTGGGGAAAGATGGCGGTAACTTGCACGAAGGTGGTTTCTGGAGGGACGGGGAGAAAGGTGCATAATCACAAGATTCTTAAAGTCCACAGGTGTTGGTAATCAGTTGGAGGTGCCGAGGATGACTCTTGCGTTTTGAGTTTATATGCAAGATGGAGGGTAACGAGGCCAAGTTCGGCAGTGGGAAGGGATCCTGAGAAGGTCCTGTTGAGTTTGAAGCGTCTTTGAGCCACCTACGTGTAGATATCAATTCAATGATGGAAGGTGTGGGTCTGGAGCTCTGGGAAGTCAGGGCTGGCAATACACATAGGTGAGTCAGCAAAAGCTAAGGGCCGCCTAAAATTGTGGGGCAGGGTGAAGTCACCCGGAGAGTGAGAATGTGAGACATGAGTGAGAATAGAAGAAAGCCCGAGTGCTCACTGAGCGGTGTCATTATTCTTGTTTATTGGTCAGAGGGAGTTAGGATGACCCCTGTAAAACCCATTTAGTGTAAAGAGCCAAAGAGAAGAAAACTAGAAAACCAGGGAAATATAGTGTCACAGAGGCCAAGGGATGAGAGGGTATAGGAGGGAGTGGTCAACAATGGTGAGTCAGGAAGTCAGGCAGGAGGTAGCTGGAAACTGCCCGTCGGATTAAGTGACATGGAAGGTGCTTTGTGTCCCTAGCAAGAGATATTTTCGGTGGAGTGGAGAGAGCAGGAGCTAGAATAAAGTGGATTGAGGTGGGAATTGAAAGCAAGGAAATGGAGAAAGTGAGTATAGACAGCTTTTTAGAAATGGTTGCAAAGCGGAAGAGAGGGCACCTGTTGGTAGCAGATGTGGACTCGGGAGGATTGATCCGGTTCATTTGATTGTTGAGTGTGAATGTTTCTTGCGTGCTAAAGCCTGAGGATTTCGTTGAAAGGGGATGGTTAAATAAAAGAGAGATGTGACCATCCGAGGTCACCAAAGGTCAGGATGCCAAACACAGGTTGGAGAGGGCAGGGGCCCGGGGATTCTGTAGCTCCTGCGCTAGCCTGGATTTTTCTGAACCCCAGTGACTTGCCCGAGGCCAGATGCCCTGACCTGGAATGTCTGCCTGTCCCTCCTTTCCTTGGCATCTCTCTTCCCTGCTGTCTGGCCTACCCACGGCCTCTTTCCTACAGCCTGCTCAGCTGTTTTCTCAGCTTTGTTCACCCACTGTTAAGTTATTAACTTGTCAGGGTCCAGACTCCCCACTTCCTTTCCCTCTTTGAACCCACTGTTGGCTCCCTTCCTGGTCGCTGCCTCGGGAAGCCAGCACGTGGAAAGCCAGGGTGACTCTGCGGGTCATTACTGGCAGGCACAGAGATGTACAATTAACGTAATTGCTCTAGAATGTTGAAGGCTTCTTAAAGACATTGATACAACTGAAAAAGGAATAATAAATGCAACCCACTCTCCCTTATCTCAAAGGTGAAGGCAAATGGTGAACTTAAAACAGACTTTATTTAAAGTAATTTCTCCAACCAGGTTCCATTTTAAAGAGTCACCTGTACACCTGTTAAGGACCATCAGATGTTTACATTTAATTCATGGATTCAGTAGGGTCAAGAGTGATCTTGAATTAATTCTTAAAGCAGACTTAGGAACTGGTAAGTTGCTTTACCAGAAGTGTTGCTACTCTGAAATAAAAAAAAAAAAAAAAAATCTCATCTAAGACTCTTTAGAGAAATTTGCAACCATTCCGAAAAGAGAATTGAATGGCTTTATCATTACCTAGCACTTTTGAAGTCATGAATTAACTTAATGGGGCATGATGGACCTAAGGCACAGACTGTTTCCTATTTGTTGACCTACTTTCCGCTGATAACGATGTCCTGTCTAAGGCTAAAATGAAGGGAGAAATAACATTTTTGAGCATTTTATTATGGGCAGATTTTTTTTTTTTTTTGCTTCTATCATGATCTTCATTCCTTGCCATCCTCTGAGATGCACATTATCTACAGCTTTGCCAGTAGAGAAAGCAGGGCTCCGGAACTGTGTGGGAGTTTCCCGATGTTCACACCACTAGGGAGTGGCAGGTAGCCCTCGGTACTTGAGCTCTGGTCTCATGCTCACGCACGGAGAAGCAGCGGTCATGACCGGAGAGATGGTAACAATAGCAGTAGCTCCCACGCATCGAGCCCTCAGTGTAGGCAGAGCCACTGTCGTTATCGTTTAATCCCTATGACAGCACCGCAAGCACCGTGGTTCTCATTTCACCCAAAAGGAGGCGGTCTCGAAAACGTTAACTAATCCGTCGGGTGAAGAACTGGAATTCAGACCTAGTTCCGTCTGACCCTGCCCTTCCACGGTAGACTTGTCAAGATTAGGGATGCTTCCCTGATCCCAAGAGCAAAACATGAGGCACGGTAGATGTAGATATTCTTTTTCCTAATGTTGTCCAATATACAGCTGCCTCCCAGCACTCCCGTTGAACCGGAATACGGCATGTTTATTTAACGTTTGTTCCTTGTCAGCCCTGGCAGGGGAGGACAGGAAGGTCAGACATTTCTGTGAGCTTATCCATTTGGGGAAGGTACTTTCTCACCCCCTCAGCAACTTCTGCTGTCAAGACCCACCCCCCAAACCCGGGATGGGCCAAGGAAACTTCCGAGCACAACCATAATGAAGGATCACAAGTGGTTGAATTCACTCCTTCGCTGGACACGGAGAAGACAGTTCACACAGAACTGGCTAACTTCGATTTTCTGTGTAACTCTAAACGGTCTTTGTGTTCAGCTTGGTCGATAGCAACATAGTAACAGAAGAGGGCCCAGCACAGGCTGGTCTGGTAACACCAGAGAGGTGAGCGGAGATCGTCACTGAAATAAAGGACGTGGAAGCAGAAACGAGAGTCCAGAGCACAGCCAACCAGAGCTGTTTGGGTCTCAGATCAAATACCTTGCGCACCCCGTGCCAATACTCCATCGGGGTCTTAGCAATGACTGTTTTTCATTATGGTCACACTGAACCTTCGTGAAAAATTAATATCATGTCAGGTTTGGTGTATATCCAATTTAGGAGAGTAGTGATGATGCGTGCAGGGTTTTTGTTTTGGTTTAGTTTCGGTTTTTTAGGGGAAAAAAATGCATTCATGCTTTATCTTTCCTTCAAATCTAGCTGTCCAAGGAAGATCCCCCAAGGCCCTGTGTGTTACTAACCTCTGCACACCCAAAGCACAGTACCTGGTTTACAGTACGTGCTCGCTAACGTTAGATGATGGAATGTCAAGGGCTTGTTTCCCAAAGGTTCTGGATAGCCTGCTTTAGCGTGGCCGCTCAGCTCGTCCCTGTTTATCCTGTTTTTAGACGGGATTAAATGAAACGATACCCAGCCTCACCTCCAAGAAATCATGCAGCACGTGGTAGTGACAGTTCTCATCTGTTCTCGTCCTCATCAAGCCTGACCGCCGTTGCCCACTGGGGAGGGTGTAACAAAGACGCTTCGGCCTTATGTTCCCCGGGACACATTTAACCCCAATAGCTAGAACCGGGCCGGGGGAGCTGACTCGCTCTTAGCAAGATAAGCGGGGGTGCCAGGTGGGCTTCCAGGCTCCCCACCCCCTCGGTCAAAACTCCTGGTGGCTCTGGATGAGAGGTTGCGGCATTTCAGAGAAGTTACTGGCAGCCAGCAGATCTTGCATCAAGGGCTACCGGCATCCAGGGGCCCGGTTTGATGCATCTGCTCCAAGCACCTGGCCTGCATTCCCCTGCTCGGGGGCCGCTCATTTTCCAGGCCACTGCCGTTTTGAAAAGGCAGCCTCGCTGACCTGTGAAATGAGTGCAGTGCCTGTATGAAAGCCCCGTCCCCTCTCCCCAGCAGCCACAGGACACTTCTGGGGAAGGGGGCCAAATCCGTGAGCGCCTGAGGGATCTCTGGCCTGAACTCCTGATGGAATTAGCAGGAGTTATCTATAAATCCCCGAGGCATCCATCAGCAGACAGAGCAAGGGGGCCTTTTTAAAGAAGTTCACTGACCTCTTGTTAACTTAACTCCTTGTTAGGAAATATCTAATCAGCTGGATGCTAACATGTCAAGGGCCCAGGGGTCAGCAGAAGCAGGGTTCGCTGTGGGCTTGGGTTTCCAGCTGTGTGCTGCCTGCTATCTGAGCTGTCTTGTTTTCCTCTTTCAGCTATCTTTCAGATCATTCAGAGCATAAGGATGGGCATGTGAGAAGGCCTGGGGATTTGACCCTGCCCCCTCCCTCTGGAGGGCGGAGGACCACTTAAGCTTTTAGCCAGGGATCTGTGGGAAGCACACAGCCACACCGAGTAGAAAAAAAAAGGCTCCCTCCATTGTTCCCTGATCACTTCATCGTGGATGTCAGACCACATTGCCTTCTCACAGGACATCTTGGTACATCCGTGTTCTCGAGCGGAAAGGACATTTTGCTTTTCTGTTGGTGGGATTGGTAGCTCCCAGATGTCTGCGGCAGCACCCTGTCTGGTTTTGCCCCTGGTCTCACAAATGTATGTATGTGGCCCTCCGAAGGATCACCAGGTTACTTTCTATGGATACAGCCTCTCCTCCGTTGGGGATTGGTTTTACGAATAAATGTCTTTGTTCAACCTTATACCATGTGTGGGTTACAGTGAAAAACCTGAAGCGAAGAACATGCCAGAATAGCTCCAGGTGGGGTTGGGGTGGGGGGTGGGGGACAGGACTAGACGTTTGGGAAAGGGTCAAGGAATCTGCAGCTGGGGAATTAGAGCTAGATTTACCTTCAGGGTCTTGGCCCAGAATGAAGCCCTGGGCTGCTCTCATGACCTTGGATTTTCCACACATTTTACTTTTTTACTCTTTTTTTTTTTTTTGTTTTTGGGGGGGGGTTTTTTTTTTTTTGTTTGTTTTTTGTTGTTCTTTTTTTCGATGCAGAAAAGCCACCTACAAAATGTGTCAAGGATCGATTAGCTGTTATCTGCTCTTTGTCTTAGGACTTGACGAGGAGCAGGTGTCTGAGGCCTCTTTATGAAAACCAGCCAACCTCAGGACCCAGGAGGGCTGGAGTCTCATCTCACTCTGGGTGGTCAGCCTGGAGGCTGGGAGAGTTTGGCCCAGGGCTGGTGGGTGCACACGTCTCCCTGGCCAGCCTCCCCACAGCCCCTCAGAGTGCGGTCTGCCTACATGGGCATCCCAGTGTGTGGCGGGGGTGGGGCAAGTGGAAGATGCATCTCGAAATGCAGACTCTGGGGTTCCACCTCAAGTCTGCTCAATTTAAGTGCGGCAGGTGGGGCCAACGCCAATGTTTTGTACAAGCTCCCTGGGTGAGGCTTACGCACTCTAAATTTTCAGGACCACGATCCTGAGAAGGGCCGGCTAAAGAGAAAGTTTTGTCCCATTCCAAGCAGCAAAGACAGCCCCCGCTGAAGCTTGCTGTTAAGCGAGGCCTATCCTGCGGGCACGGCTGGCAGAGGAAAGGGAGAATCAGCCTGCTCAGTTGTTCTGACTTCTGATACGGCCGCAGGAAGTCCGAGGGGCGACCACAGAGATCGGCATTGGGATTAAAGATGTTCAGTGTGCAACTTTAAACAGTCCTGTGTTGCTTCTTAAAATTCCATCTTTGCACTCTTGGCAATTTCGTTCATTCCTCAATATTGGGAGAACTTTAAACATGGAAGCGGTGGCAGTGGCCAGGACTTCTGCCAACCACTTCGGGGGCTTTGTTGGAAATGGTGCACTTGGAAATGGGGCGGAGGGGGAGGAAGCTTTTTGTCCACTGGAGTCTTTTACGAAACCCAGACCCTTCAGTGATATTCTTTAGGGCCTTCTTTTGTCCCATCCTCCTCTCCCATCCTCCTCTTCCCCCTCCTCCCCTCCCTCCTCCTCCTCCTCCCTTCCTGCTGAGAAGAGGGTTGCAGGTCTGCTTCAAAACCAGCAGCCTCAAGGACAGTCTACCACCCTTGTGCTCCCCACCACTGCCACTGCCAGGCCCCTCCCAAGCCGGCAGAAGGCATCTCCCACCACGAGAACTGCACACGAGATGCTCTGCGAGCTGGTCCCCTCATCCTGTTGGCTCTGCTGCCTGTTCTCTTCTAGGTCACTGAGACCAGTGTACTGTGAAAGATCAGACCTCAGGGCTCCTGCCAAGAGGCCAGAGGAAGAAAGGCCGCTTGACGTAGTTTACCTGGTCCGTGCTCCCTTACGTGGCCTAACTCCCACATGGCCTAGTGTTGCTCGGAGTCTGGCCTTTCTCTTCCTGCCCTAACAGCATGCCCGCCATGAAAGGCCTTTGCTGGGCCCACGCTTTGCGGGTCTTCCCCCACCACCAATTGGGTTTTTCCCACAACAGTAATAGTCAACAGGGTGATGATCCCTATTTTCAGGAAAGGGAAACTGAAATTTAGCCAGATCGGGCTCTGGATAAGCCCCGCTGTCCCCAGGTGACAGGTGTGGCCAGCTGAATCAGCTACTATTGGTAAAACTTCCTGTGATTGATTTATCTCCCCAGGCTACTGGGATCATCCACAAATTGGTTTCCTATTACTTTTCAGGGAGCCTCCCCGAAGTTCTCGTGTGTGACAGTCTGCCCTCCCCGGTGACTTCTGTCACTCTTCTGAAAGCGGAGACAGGGCTGCCTAAGTATCTTAGGGTCGTGGTTGATTTATGCCGTACGGCAGAGACGTACAGACATTTTTTGCCATGACCCACGGTAAGAAATACGTGGCAACCTAAAGCACAACGCATCCACCAAAACAAGTTTTCCAGGACAACGCTTATCCTTAACATATGTCATGTACTCTTTCTAACTACCCCCTCCCCGTCCCCAGTCTCTTTCTTTCTTTGTTTTTTGTTTTTTGTTTTTTTTTTAATACTGGTTGCAACCCCCTCAGCTGATTTTATAGCCCATGAATAGGTTCCAACTCACAGTTTGGAACCGCTACTCTTCCACCGAAAATCAAGCCCCTAGAGGGAGACGGATGAGCAGGTCTCATGAGGTGAGAAAGTCTGAATCTCACTTTGCGTGCTGGTGAGAGCCTGGCGTCATGCCGGTCACAGCCAACCAGTACCTCCTGTCATACCTGAGCACTTTCTCTGGGTATGTAAATTACAGTGGCAGACCCTGCAAAGAGAACACTAGCGACCCCTTGAATTCATTGTAATAATGTGAAATAAACACCACATTCCATTTGTCAGCAATCCCTTGCTGTTCGGCACCATCTCTTGGGGTGGGGAAGGGTGGTGTTTTTTGGTTTTTTTTTTTAACGTTTATTTATTTTTGAGACAGAGCATGAACGGGGGAGGGTCAGAGAGAGAGGGAGACACAGAATCTCAAACAGGCTCCAGGCTCTAAGCAGTCAGCACAGAGCCCGACGCGGGGCTCGAACTCACGGACCGTGAGATCGTGACCTGAGCTGAGGTCGGACACTTAACCGACGGAGCCACCCAGGCGCCCCGGAAGGATGGTTTTTAAAGCTGGAATCCACCCAGGGTCTGCAGAGAACCAGAGTCTCCAGGGACCACATGCATGCGTGTGTGTATCTTTTTAGCGTCCAGAAGATTCTGATGCTGCCCATCCACCAATTAGCATCTGGGAACAAACTCGCCAGCTTAAACTTTGACTTAGTTTAAGCCGAAGCAAGGACTCAGCAGGAATACCCCCAAACTGAGCACTGCATCGACGCTGTGCAAGAGCTTTTCCTACCCGCGTTTTAAGCCTTTGGGGTTTGGAGTTCGGCAACAATGAGACGCTGTGTCTTGTTTTGCTCCAGGTCTTGTGTGTCTTTGTCATCCCAAGTAGATCACACACCGGAGTACAGGGCGCTGAGCCTCAACTCCCAAAGCTCTGTCCATGGTGCAAAGGCTAAGGGCTTTTTCCACGTCTCGACCTAAAAGACAATTCTCATCCTATGCAGACACGAGAATATTCTAACTTCGTGTCCGGGTGCCGCCATGTTGCAGTAACAACAGAAAAGCTGTCACTCAGCCAGTGGGTGCTTCCTTCTCGCTCACACAAGTCTGACCGGTGCAGGCTGGCAAAGCTTCCCTGCGAGGGGTGTCTCCATAGGCCAGCTCGCACAGCCTTCATAACACAGGGTCACCGCGGCACAGAAAGTGAGATGTAGGAGAGACACCACCCTGGCCCCGGAGGTGACGCTTCACTTCCATGCAGCATGACATTGGCCACCGCCAGTCGCATGGCCCAGCCTGTCTGCAGGGAAGACTGGGAAACGTTGGGGCGCACGCGGGTATTCGGTGAACTCTGTTTCTGCCATAACACTGACTCTATTTAGCATTTTAGAGTCAGTGTTTAGTTGAGGTCAGTTTTCTAGCCATCGCCTTTTCTTATCGAGGAAAATTTAGATTTCTTCTAAATCTCACTGCTCTCCTTAGGCCTTGAGGGCCCATCTGTGCAAAGCTCACAGACAGTGGCTCAGAGCAGGCCAGCTGTGTGCTACGGGTAAGTGACCATGGCATTTAGCACCCCAGCCAGGATACTTGTAGGCACGAAATGGGGTACTATAAATAATCATACCAGGACACCAAACGTAAATGGTGACTGTCCTGGGCAGATCAGGACGTACGGTCAACCTGCCCACGGATTGATGCACAAACTGTCATCTCGAGAGACACTGGATTCAGTTGGAAAGTTTTGCACTTTCACAAGCCCCTTGTCCACAGCATAAGGCAGACTCTCCTAAGAAATTCAGAATTTAAACAATAAAAGTGATACAGGTAACTGACTTGCCTCGGCAGAGCTGTGAGAACACCCAAGGATATCAATCCTATCTGTGCCCCAGGGTGAGTGGGGCATCAGATGGGACCCTGGGCAAAGCCAAGCCAGCCCCTTAATGGTGGGGCCGGGGGAGATGCCTGGAGTCAAGTTCCATCTGTGAAGTAACTAGAAAGTTTCAGCCTCGGATGTTCATAATGCTGTCAAAACAGAGGCATAAACTGTACCACTGACCTCTTGAAAGTCCTCAGTATACACACCTATACGCAGACTTCTATTTTTATCTTACTTGGACGGACACAAACTTTAAATAATTGCATCAGGGACACAATGAGAACTTAGTAGAACTGCATAGAGCTCCAGAAGAAAAGCCCACATGAATAGTTTTTAAACGGGCCATGAGATTGGTATAACTAATCCATTTCTTCTTGGTGGGAGAAGATGAAAGGAGGTGCAGAGAAGGGAAGGTAAGTCACTGCTAAAAAGAAAAGGCCAGAAAGAAATAAGCGTAGGGGCGCCTGGGTGGCTCAGTCGATTAAGCGTCCAACTTCGGCTCAGGTCATGATCTCATGATTCGTGGGTCCGAGCCCCACGTCGGGCTCTGCGCTGACAGCTCGGAGCCCGGAGCCTGCTTCGGACTCTGTGTCTCCCTCGCTCTCTGCCCCTCTCCCACTTGTGCTGTCTCTCAAAAATAAATAAAAGAAAAAAAAGAAAAGAAAAAAAGAAACAAGCGTAGAGTCATCACCCAAATTTTACTGCAATGTATTCTTAAGCATTTTACAATCTTCACACGTATTTAGGTTTTTCAGCCCCCCCATAAGATCGGTTGGACCCGCCAGTAGCTTTTCTGGAGGGCTTGCTGTGTGCCAGAGACGACTCAGGTACTCGTGAGAATACACTTGTACCCTCGTGTCCACCGCACTAAACAGCCCTCAGGGAGGTACTATAATTATCCTTGACTTACGAAGAAGACACTGAGACGCAGAAGGTTTGAAAAACTTGCCAGAGAGGCTGCTGCTGGTGACCAGGGGAGCTGGGACTCAGACCCAGGCAGCCGGGCCCCAGCCTCTGAGCTCTTTATCACGGCACTGCCCTTAACAGGGCCTAATCATAACGAACAGAAAGGGCTGGTTTGGGTTTTGTTTCATTTTTATTTTCACTGCTGTGTATTCCAGACATACAACAGTGCCTGGAGCTCCATAATGGTTCATGAAAGGAATGAATGAATGAGTCAGCAAGTGGTAGCCTCTTGGTGAATACATACTTTCAGCAAGACTGGAGTGGTGGTGTTGAGGGGGGGGCGGGGCAGAACTGAATTGTAGAAATGGCCCAGGACCAGAAATCAGGCCATTGGCTTCTCGCCATGGCTTCTGCCCATCACTCTTTTCTCTGGACCTTGAAATGTCCTCAGCCATACGTTTGAAGATGTCCTGCCCTCTCGCATCACAGGGCTGTCGTGGGAAGCAAATGATATGATGTGTGTGACATTGCTTTGAAAAAACTGTAAAATGTATGCAGATTATATATGCACGTAATTACATCTATGCATACAATTATATATGTGATCATTGCTGCAACCATATAATGATATAATAATAATTGCTACTCAGGACAGGTGGGGACTGCATAGGTTAAAGAAAAAAAAAAAAAAAAAAAGACTCACATTCAAAATCCTACCCCTACCAGGACCCTATCTTAGAACAACACGCTCTCAGCAGCAAGAATGCCCAGTGTGGGCAAGTGGGAAAGTGTGGATGGGTCAATGCAATCCATTCCAGCTGATGGAGAGAATTCAAAGTTCAGATAGTACCTCGGTGCCATGATTATCTATATTATTGTTATTCATAATCAGTAACAGAGGTTAGGCGAGACTGAGAATGGCTCTGGGCTCTGGAGGACCATCGGAATCTGTTAAGAGGCTGACCGACTGCTGGTTTCACTCTCATTGAATGTTTGGCATCTTCCAGTCTCCTCATAGGTCACTCCTGAAGGGAGTGGATGCAGGACATGTGGTCAACTCACATGGAGCTGGAGATTCCAAAAGGATGGGGAAGGGGGGCTGGGGGAGGAAAGGAAGATAGCGAGGAACGAAAGGAGGGGGAAGGGAGGGAGGAAGGAGGGAGAAGAAAACGGCGGGAGGGCAGAGATTTTCCGACATTTCAGTGATTCGCCTTATCCCCCACTCGGAATCCCCGGACGTGATTTGCTTGGGCCAGGCCACAGGCCCTGCCTGTCCCACCTCCCACACTCTCGACCTTCACTCCAGAACCACATCCCAGAGGGACGCGTCCTCAGGAAGGATGGGAGAAACGTGTCCAGTTCTGAGACCTGTATCCTTTCTGTATGAGAGAAAGGCTTATTTCTCCTCTGTCTTGCATCTTAACTATCATTTTGATAAACATCTTCAGGCTGGATAAGCTGGTGGTGGCGGGGGACGAGCGAGAACAGAACAAAGGTACATTTCTGGCAGTAAGGCGTGAACAGGATTGTCGGAGTAAGACGCAGGAAACGGGCGCTAGATGCTGCGGACTGAGCGTGTCTTCGGAGCTCAGGACGAGCAGAGAGCCGGGGCCTGGGGCTGCTTCCTGGGCTCGTAGGCTCCTTAAAGGCTTCACGAGCACGAAGTCACGTCGTGGGGCCCACAGCATCTGGCATCCTCGGGAACCCCCCCCCCCACCTTTCACACTGGTCCTGGGGGCACAATCTAATTGTCCTTTGAGGAAGTCAAGGTGGTTGCCAGAACACAAGACGACTTTCAATACGATGGTGGCACAAAAGGTATCTGTTTATTAGGCAGACCTCCACTAAATCGGAGTTTGCCCTCTCTTCTGGTAGGTGTTTTGGGAAAATAAAAGGAGAGAGGTTGGTGGCATTGTTCCGTGCTCTGTATGTGGGAAAACTCAGGCTTTTTACATAGTAGGAAAATACTCCATTTGTTCCCTGCCTAATACGGTGGAGAACCTGGCCGGGGGGGGTTTCTTTGCTGCAAAAAGCAGAGGATGGAAACCGAGCAGGAGCGTGCAGTTCTGTGAATTAAGGTCATTTACTGGCAGAAGTCACCAAACCTGTATTTCAAGGGACATCTCTCCAGCTCTCAGTCTCTTGGGCTGGCCTGCAGCCCTGAAGGGACTGGGCTTAGCTCCAAACCCTCTCAACCTGAGCGAAACCTAAAAGATGCCTCTCCCCATTTTCTACAATCAGGGCCGCTACCTAAAATTATCGTTTATTTGTGTTGGAAAAGATTCCTGCTGCTTTCCAACCTGGCCAGCCTCCCCAGGGGCTGAGGAGGGGGAAAGTCACTGATGTAATCACCCAGCTTGGGATTTGCTGCCATTTGCACCCGGGACAAGAGGAAGCCAGCGCACAGCCTCCCCTGCGCACCAATGCCACAGGGAGGCTGGGCAGAGTGACAGAGGACCAGCCATCAAAGCAGCCCTGAAAGCGAGGGCTCGTGCTTTTCCCTAGTAAGCCACCTTGACAAATGTCCCTTGAGGGGGCCGGGGGTGCCTCTTTCTGCCTCTGTCCGTCTCAGTCTCTCACCAAGGAGCAGTTATCGCTACTCTGTGTCTAACACGACTACTTATTCTCTCCCCTGGACTTGGGTGTTCAATTAGCATTGCCTCTTCAAACTGCACGAGCTGTGGCCCGCTGGCTGGTCTCCAGCGTCCCCCCCTCAGTCCAGCGCAGGCTGCACCCTGTCCCCTTCCCCAAGCCAAGCCAGCTCTTGCATTGTCTCACCTGAGAGGCCCGAAAGCTTCTGGATGATCTCCCGCAGCCTGAGAGGGTATGGGGCTGACGCAGACGGTCACTGGGCCTGGCGATCTGCCCTTTGCTTGGGGCCGAGGTTCTGTTCGTGCAGCCACCAGCAGCTCCGGGCACCAGGACGATGCCGGGGACAGCAGTGTTTTCCAGGCCGCCAGCGCAGGAGCCGGCCCCGCTGGGGTAGAAACCCTCCTTGGGACGCTTCTCAGCCTCCACGGAGAGAGGAGATCACATTTTTTAAACGTTGACCCAAAAAGGCCCCCTGTGATGGCCCAGATTGAAAATCAGTGTAGACCCGTGTCCCGCCCTTGACCTTTCAGAGCCATCACAAAGTGGGGCAGGGCCTCAAGGCACAGGTGGGGGACGGAGCTCCAGCCGCACAGCGTCGTCAGGGCCCGGAAGGGCCAGGACCCATCTCCGCCCAGGGAGCCCCGGGCTGTGTGGGCTTCACCCTCAATCCGACGCAATCTGGGAAGGGGTTCCCTCCGGCCAAAGGTGGGAGGAGACCCAGAGGGTTTACAGGGGTAGGAGGGCAGGCACGAAGGCTCAGGCGCACCGCGGAATCTTTACTATTAGGGCTGAGGCGGTATGTGGCCACCAGGCCCCTCCGTCACCATCCCTGGGACCTAGATGGCTGTTGCCAGGCAGACTCTCAACGCACAGTGTGCTGAGGCGCTTCAGGGAATCCAGAAAATCGTGTTCCTTCACACAACGGAGGCTGCGCTATTTAGATTTAAAAATACAATGAGAGAGGAAGAGGAACAGAGTCAGCTTCATGGGAGAAGAGCCAGACAAGGGAGCCCCGCCCAGATTCCACCTTTCCTTGCATCTCTGGGGCTTCCGGGATCAGCTCCTGCCCGCCCCACCCCCCCCCCCCCCCCCCACTTCCCTTCCTCTCTCTCGTCCACCACACTCTCCACCTCTGCAATAATCAACAACGTCCACATGGCACTTACCGTGCCAGGTACAGTTCCAAGTTCTCTTCAGGACACTTAGCTCCCAAAACTCTCTGAGGAAGGTTGTTTCTTTGCATCACTTCTCCTCTCTGCTGCCTCGGTCTCTACCCCACCCTTGCCCCGCGCCGTGGGTTTTCTCACACACGCTTTTACACCCCCCCCCCACCCCCCCACAACTTGGACCTCTGTCTCTCTCACGCGGCCTCGTCTACGGTTTCCCAGGAAGCGAACCCTCTCCTCAGGGAAGGAAAGGCCTCAGAGAATGAAGACCTTCATCAAGTTTTCCTCTTGCTGGGCCATCTGGAGATCAGCTGAGCTACCCTGCACTGGGGCTGCCTGGAGGGGCCCGGGGGCTGAGTCCCCCCTCACTCCATTCAAGCTTGTGGGAAAGGAAGCACACTCCCCTGTTTATGGCAGCCCCACCGACTCCATGCTGGGCTGCCCGACCTGGCAGGGCCCCGACCCAGAGCCGGGCTGGCTCTGGGGAGGGGTCTGCCCTGTCTTCTGAGGGAGGAGACAGGCAGAGAGCAAGGGGGGAAACCACAGAGGACAATCGCCTTTCGTGGAGAAGGCCGTGTGGCAGCAAGGCCAATTAGAGAATGGGGACCATGGGTTCGGATCCTGGCTGGCCCACTAACTACGCCAGGATGCCTGGCAGATCACCAGCCCTCAGTGGGTTTCCGGTTTTCCCACAGGGAACTGGATTATATTCGTTTTTTTTTTTTTTTTTTTATTATTATTGTTATTATTTTAGGGACGGTTTTTCCCTTGCAAACAAAATCAGAAAAACCCCATGTATAAAAATACACGCGAGCCGGGGCAGGAGGGCTCAGCACCACGCCCTCAGCAACAGCCCTGACCAGATTTGTTCCGTTCATAAGCCTTTCAGAGGGCAGACTGTGGGCCCTCCATGGCATCAGGGTGTGGGAATGTTGAACACGGTTCCCTGGCCACCAGGAACCTACAGTCCAGCGGGGAGAGACCCATGCGAACAGACAACGGCCGCACACCTTAATAGGTGACAAAATTCAGGGGCGTCAGTCAGTTAAGTGTCTGACTTCAGCTCAGGTCATGATCTCACGATTCTTCATGAGTTCAAGCCCCAAGTGAGGCTCTCCACTGACAGTGCGGAGCCTACTTGGGATTCTTTCTCTCTCTGCCCCTCCCCTACTTTCTCTCTCTCTCTCTCTCTCTCTCTCTTTCTCAAAATAAATAACCTTTAAAAACAATAGGTGATATAATTCTCAGGAGCCACCCACAAACAACCGTTGTTCACCTCAAAGGAAAAGTGATCTACAATTGCTCATCCACTCCTGGGCATATACCCCAAAGAATGGAAAGCAGGGACTCGAGATATTTGCGCACCCGTGCTCAAGACAGCATGATTCACAATAACCAACACGTGGAAGCAACCCAGTATCCTTCGGTGGATGAACTGATAAGCAAAACGTGGTCTGCACATCCAATGGAGTATTGTCCAGCCTTACGAAGGCAGGAAACGTTCTGACACATGCCACATGAATGAACCTTGAGAACATGACACTAAGTGAAATAAGGCAGTCACAAAAAGACAGATACCGTATGATTGCACTTGTATGGGGTACCTAGAGTAGTCAGAGTCCTGGCAACAGAAAGCAGAATGGTGGGTGCCAGGGGCTGGGGGAGGAGGAGTGGGGAGTTGTCGGCTGATGGGTGTCGAGACAAGACACCCACAAGACATTGGGTGTCTTCTTCCGGACATTTCTGGAGATGGATGGCGATGATGGTTTCACAACAATGTGAATGCATTTAATGCCACTGACCCGTACACTTCAAAACGGTTGAGATGGCAAATTTCATGTGACGCGTATTTTACTCACAATAGTTTTAAAAATTGTTGATGTGGCTCAGGCCACTCTTGATTTCGGTCCAGGTCATGATGTCACAGCTTGGGAGATCGATCGGCCCCCACGCCGGGCTCTGCGCTGACAGCATGGAGTCTGCTTGGGATCTTCTGTCTCTCTCTGTCTCTCTCTGTCTCTCTCTGTCTCAAAATAAATAAACACTAAAAAAAAATTGTTGAGTCTTTGGGTCAAAAGTGGCCAAGGTTTCGCATGGGCTGTGGTGGAGAAGTACAGACAAGGCTTCTCAGCCTGCTGGGGTTCCAGGCCCCAGGCCTACCTCTGTTCCACTCCCCGCCCCCCTAACCAGGCATAAGGAATCTTCTTCATGGTCTCAAGGATTTTGCATATGCTGTTCCTCTCACCAGACGCTTTTCCCCCAGGTATCTCCCTGGCTCAAACCCACCAGGCTCTCTCCTCAGATGTCACATCCTCAAAGAACCCTTACTAACATCACTAAAATAATGTGCCCATGTGCATGTGCGCACACACACACACACACACACACACACACTCACACACTGCCTAGCACCCACCTTACCTAGATTTACTTTCTTCATAGCACTTACTACCATCTCCTGGGTTGGCATTCAGATATTTATTTGTTTCTTTTCGGACTCCCCTGCCAGAACATAACAAGCTTCACCACGACAGGGACATTGTTTTTTCCTCACCGTTCTCTCCCCCATGGCTGGCATATTGTAGGTGCTGCTGATATGAATTTTTTGAAAGAATGACAACGAATAAACAAATGAATGACAGCTCGCCTGCACAGCTCACCAAGCCTCCACTCTGGAGCCCCATCTGGTCACAGGCCCGCCTACCTGGCATTGTCTTTTTTGTATTTACCTCTCTCGAGAACTTGGCCGAGAGGTGATGTCCGACTGAGGACAGGGGTCGAGGATTTGATTCCAACTCGCAGCTAAGGAAGAGCTATTACCATCTTCTCCTCTACTTGGCTTTACGGTTCAGATCCCAGGCGAATGACAGATGGTGAGCCGGGAAGGGAGAGTCGATTTTAGAGAACGTAGAACTCAGTGTTTAAAATAGAATCCTACAGTCTTTGAGGTGGAGAGGGCCGCAGACTTGGGCTGGGCTTGAAACAGTGAGACGATTGCAAGTGGGCTGCATGGCCCTGGCCGCTACCAGCCCCCGTGACATAGGCCGGCCTGGGTGTCCTCTTGGTCAAGCTCCACAGATAAGCAGGGCACTACGAAATGCCTCTGCTGAGGAGGAGAAGAGCTGCTGTTGGCAGCAAGGGCACAGAGGAGAGGCCCAGGAACCCTCGGACAGGCACTCGAGACGAGCTGTCCTCTCCAGGCTCGCTCCAGAGCACTCCAGTGATCCCCGACATTGACTTCCATGAAACAGATGCTTAAAATCACTCATACACACCGGCGTGTTTGAAGAGCTTTCACTTGCCCTTCCCCGCAAACTGGGCCAAACCTAAAAAAAGGCCAACTTGGGGTAAGATTCTCCGAAAACCTGAAGATAGAATGGCGATGTTGTTTGATTTTTTTTTCAAGGCCGTGAAGCCAAGTCCCGTTAGATGCACCATCGCTGTGACACTATTGCATTCTCATTCATGATGCCTTAAATTCTACCGTTGGAGTCACAGACTCTCCGGGATGGAGGGAATGCTGAAGGTCACTGGGCCAGTGCTGCTTAAGCTGTGGGTTGGAATTATTTTTCAGGTCATGAAATCAATTGAGCAGACCACAAGCGGAATTTGAACTTGACACAGAACAGAACGAAATAGAGAATATCGCAGTGTGTCGCACACGGCAAAGGTAGGCATTGCTTCACCAAACTTCTCATTCAAACGTGCGTGTGTCTACAGCACTGCAGTAGTAGCTATGTTTCTTAATATGAATCCTGGCCCCCCCCTCCCGCCCCCCAAAAAATGAAAGCTACTCCCTGGGTACATTTTCCACGGAGGACTCAACACTCCTATATCCAGCCCACGTTGAATCATTTCTTAATCCTCGGATTTATTAAGTGTCCGTGGCATGGAAGGCGCTGTTCTGGCCCCGGAGAAACAAAGATGAATAGAGAACACTGTGTTAGGCAGGGTCCCGGCAGGAACCAGGTGGCATGCCTAATTGGGTAATACGAGGAGAGTTTAATAAAGGAGCTATTTATCTAGTAGGCAGGCTATAGGGAAACCGAAAGAGATAGTGCAGAACCCGGGGCTGTGAACAGCATCGCAAGGCTGGAAGGGGTGAGGGAAGGGAGGTGTTTCCAGAGCCCAAAGCCACGTGGAGAGGCCTTTCTGACAGGAGCTGTCGCCTTCCGTTCAGGGAGGCAGCCTGTTCACAGTAATCCTGCAGGGAAGGAGCCGGAGGGATGAACATCTCAGCCTCACTGTCCTCTCTGTTTCTCATCTCCTGCCAACGAACGCGCTGGCCTACCAGGCCCAGGGTGCCATGACGCAGTCCACATGGGAAAGCAGGGTGACGGGGGCGGAGAGTGACTATGGAGTTCAGACAGAGCATGACCCGTGCTAACAAAATCTCTGCCCTCCAGGAACTTCTATTCCATGGATGGCCAGGTATGTAATCCAAAAAACCCACAGGTACCCCCATGCTGGCAGAGAGGTATTAACGAGGACTTCTGGAAGCACCTGCAAAGAAGCACTTGCCTCTCCGCGTAGGGTTAGGGATGGCTCGCCAGGGAGAAGACACTCTTTCTGCCCAACACCCTTCCTTGGGAACCACCCTCTCTGTTTCCCTCCCTGCAGAAAGGGTCCTGGTTGGTCCCGGACATGGTGCTCCGCCCCTCTGCTGCAGGGACCAATCAGAGTGAGTCTTTAATCCCCTGGCCACAGTGATTGGCTCAGGGAAGGGCCAAAGTTCGGCCCCACGGACTCTTACGTGAGAATCTCCAGCTAAGGACCAAACTGTCTTTTGCCTCTGAATTCTGGTTGCTGGGAGGTTGTGAAATTAGAACTGTCGGCTGCCATCTCTCCCCTTTCCCCAGTAAGTGTAAATATCCAACCTAGGGGGGAAATGGAGGCAAGGCAGAGACTCATTTTACTGGGAAATAGTTTATGTTCCGGGTTACTGTATGTTCGGGCATATGCTGCATGTATGATCACTTCTCCTTTTAAGTTAGTTGGAGTTGAGCTTCTGTCCCGGTTCAACACGCAAAGAAAACCGCATGTGCAAAAGTATGGAGGGGAGAAAGCGGATGGCATATTGAGGGACCGGCTGGGTTTGTGGTCTGGTGCTGGCGAAGTGGGCAGAAATTGGATAAGGCTCTAACAGTGGGCTTGGGTCAGATGCCGAATGTACGAGCATTCATGAAGGGGGTTAAGCAGGAAGTGACACGAACAGATGTGCATTTTAGAAAGCTCACCCTGAGAGCCATGTAGAGGACAGGTGGAGGTGAGCAGGCCTGGGAGGAAGGGGGCTACGGCAGAGCCTGGGGTGACCTGGTGGGCGTGCAGAGCTCAGCTGGGGACACGCGGGAAGGAGGGCAATGCTGGGATGCAGGAGGGATTGAGGGGAGTGAAAGAGTCTAGAATTCGTACCAAAGTGCCAGTTTGGGTGAGAAGGTGGATGACAACATAAATGGGATCTTACTTCCCACATCTCACGACTTGGAGGGCCTTCTCCTTCCTCAACATCATTTCCTGAACGCATTCTGGGTTTACCCATCGCATATGTAAGACATGGGGGCCCAGAATAGGACGTATTACTCCAGATGTGGTTTGACCAGTGGAGGACTTGGGCCATGACACATTTTCATGAATGGAGCCCATCCATCCAGAGGCTCTTCCTCAAAATCATTTCACTACGGTGACTCGTGAAACACATCACTGTCTAAAACCCCTAAGTCATCTTTAACACAGGTTCCAGATCACTTTTGTCATGCGGTGGTGAATATTTTTTCAAG